TAACGCAGATTTGTAATCACATGGCAGCAACTTAATTCATTTAGGCATGTAGACATGGTCAAGATGGTCTGCTGCAGTTTAAACTGAGCATCAGAATGGGGAAGAAAGGTGATTTAAGGGACTTTAAACGAGGCATGGAAGTTGGTGCCAGATGGACTGGTCTGAGTGTTTCAGAAACTGCTGATCTACTGGGATTTTTACACACAACCATCTTTAGGGTTTACAGAGAATGGTCCAAAAAAGAAAAAATATACAGTAAGCGGCAGTTCTAAGGGTGCATATACCTTGTTGATGCCAGAGGTCAGAAGAGAATGACCAGAATGGTTAGACACGATCGCAAGTCAGCTGTCATTATTTTTAACACCTCTATTAGGGATGCTATTAATGCTATTTTATATATACACACACACACACACACACACACACACACACACACACACACACACACACACACACAAAAACAAACAAACATATATATTTAAGTCCTGATTGGTTGTAATTTTAGTCGTAATTTATACCAGTACGGCACGTACAACTGGCACGATCTCCCCAAGATGCTCCAGCATTTTCATACCAGCAAACTAAAAACCCTAACAACAAAATCTAACAACATTAACATACTGTAACAAAATGAAAATGGTTTCAAACATCTAAACACATCAATAACATGACAATTTCTCAAAACCCAGCAACAGTAAACACTCAAAAACAAGCGAAAAAAAAAAAACTCTGAACATTCTAGCACATAAAACATACTAAAACAATCAGGTAAACTAGTAACAAGTTGACTTCAAACCACCAAACTCATTAAAAACCCCGTTGATTATGCTAAAAATAACATACAACAAGTTAAACAATGGTAACCACAAATGGTCCAACTATGCTATTTATAGTAGAACTGTAGTATACAAATGCTAATCAATCTGCCACAAAAATATGGACACTACACTATATTTAAACCATAGTTAAAAATATTTTACTTAAATAAGGGCAATATGCTGGGAACAACCAACAACTACATAAAAACTGAAATCAAAAGCAAAGCACTTCAAATCAAAACCAAAGCACTTGAACTCATTTGTAAAAACCAGCATGCTAAAAATAACCAGAAAACCAGTAGCGGCTATAAATAAAAACTGAAAATCACTCACGACATGATAGCAAATACAAACACAATAAAACTCTTTGAAATTAGCCACTGCAAATTAAAAGGTAAAACCATTCAGAACGGCCCAGCAACCACATAATAAAACATTCAATTCTTTTTGACATGCTAAAAACATGTTTAAAAAAAACTAAAGAGACTGAACGTGTAGGACTGCATACCAGCATGTTAAATACACTCAGAACATGCTAGCAAATGCACAACTTTATGCAAAATTGCCAAGAAAACTACTCAACTGCATTTTGTATGCTAAACCCCTAGAACTACACACTCAGAAATACACTACACAGTCAGATACACATTATACCGACCTCGTAGTAAAATTTCAAAGTGGTTCTTAGTTGTTACAGCTACTGCAAAGCAAGAAAACACACTTGCAACTACAATGAAACATAAAAAAAAAACACCTGTAAAACCCTGGCAACAGCAGAGCATGATGCTAAAAACCACTCACAATCATCTAGAGACTGGACAGCATACTAATACACTCACCTACCTACCTTATTGAAGAAGAAGCAGCAGCAGGATAATCTGCCATTTGCGAGTCTTTCATGCAGGGAAATCTCCTCAGGTCTTTGGGTAATTATGCATTCAGACGTTGATGTCCCAACATATCTTGATACAAGTTCACATTGTTATTGCAGATGAAATATAACACTGAAAACACGATTTAAATACGTTTTAGGTGGCTAGAATAACAGTCATTCAAACAACTATATCGAAGCTTCTCTACTTGACGTTTGGTCTTGCATGTCTACCATGTTTGTAGTTTGTTTACACTTTTTACCCTAGTTTGTAGATTTGTAGTTCTAATCAAATTCATGTAGTAATTCATGTGTAATACAATATTAGTGGTTAGACTATGGACGCTTCTACACTTCAATTTTTCCCACCGCACTGGGGAGGGGGAATAGGAGGGGGTGTCGCTGAAGAAATAAAAAGTTTGGGGGCAGAGACGGAGTGGTTGGGGGATTGTGTTTATCGCGGAATAAATTGGCCGGGGGGATAGGATGCTGACACCCCATGTGAATGCGGAGTCTGTCCTCAGTCCTGTCTATCTGTGTTAGCCTGTATAGATGAGGAAGGTGGTGTGCTATTCATGATTAACTTGTGGGTAACTGATAACTAGCTCTTTATTTGAAGATAATGAAAAAAAAAACGTTGTCTCACCGTTTGCTGTTATCTACAAGATGATATCCAGTTCTGTTAAAGTTTTACATGGTAAAACTGAAGAAATAGCAAGAGTTTGAAGAAAATAATTACACCTGCAGTGTGACAAAAGCTGAGACAAACAGAGAGAAGCACAGTATGTGCGATTAGGTGATACGCCTCCACAAAAGCCACTGCTACGCCAAAGGAATAAGTCTATTATGTAAAGTGCTGAGGAAGAATTTCATTATATGTGATATGCAAAGTTTAATGCGAAGGGGTTTGCAAACAGACATAAACAGCCAGCTAGTAAGAAAAATAAAGGGAAAAGGCTCAGCAGCTCCGCCAGCCAAAGCCGAGTTGTTTGCCTTGTCTTTTCCGATTTATTTGGCTGAAATCCCCAAAAGCTTCACTTTCCGTGAGCAACACAGCACACACACTCCTGCTCGTTCGCTGAAAGGACAGGTGTCACGCTAACAAAACACACAGGGAGAGAATGAAAAAATATCCAGTGCTGAATGGATAACAGCTAAAGTGAGATGAGTTTATTACAAATCACATTATTTTAGATCTCTTAAGCATTGAGAAGTTTATTATGATCCATGCTTTGAGCCATTTGTCTCGGCTAGGCGATTCTCAAACACAAAGCAATGAGGTTGTTTAAGGCTTGGGAACCAGACATCAGAGTGTTGTCAGATGAAGAGTGGAGATAGGAGAGTACAAGCCCTCACGCTCAATATCCTGATAAGACCTCGGACTCATCCCATCCTCACTGCCAGGATTGCGTGGCATCTCATATTCTGAATTGCTTGCCATCTATTATATAGCACATTCAGGCATGTATTCTATAGGTTTTTGATAAGAAACTGATTAGCTTAAGTGCAATGCTAGAGTGCTGTGCAATTCTGCCCTAGGTCATTGTTTAGGGTGGCTGACCAACATTTCAAGAACAACAACAACAACAATTTCCTCTTTTTATCCCACACATATGCAAAAGGCCTTTGGGGTAAGGGGTTCCGGATGTTTATTCAGACGGCTGGTAAGGGCATATTTTATTTTGGCATGCTGTTAGGACAAATGGGATTACATGGCTATTTTGGGAGTGAGACTCGCACGCAGGTGAGGCAAGCTACTTGGGTGCTGTCATCAGACGCCTAGCGTATCATCGCTAAAGGTCAGCAGAGTCTGCATCTGAATGCCACAGCTTAGACACATTTGGAGTCGAAAGCTATTCCAATAAATATCCGCTCATCTTCTGTAAAAGCGTAATTCCTGTCTCTGTATTTTGAAGGCAGAAACCTGGAGGATTATGGTGATGTTAAGAGGCAGCGGGAGCGAATCAATTTTGAGTGAATGACAGGAATGATGCTTTGAATAATGCATTTTTGAAAAGAAGGGCGGGGGGAAAGCCGCCGCTCGTGAGCAAATGGGTCTCTCATAATAGTGGAAAATTTTCTCCTTCCCTGCCATTCTGTGTGTAGATGAATTGGAGGATAAGTTACACAAAATGGCTTCAAGGATGCATGTCAGAAAGCAGCAGGGGTATTGTATGCCTCTCAGAGGCTTAACACAGGTTTAACTAAGCACTCGAGAGGTTGTTGGTAGGCTTTGGGATCAGTCTCAGCAGAAGCAGGGTGAGCCAGACTTATACACACATGGACAGAATAAATACTCATAAAATGCCAGATTTTGTGGCTTCCCTGAAGAGGCTCAGAACCTCTAAAGTGATTCTATTTGATTCTATTTTCTTGTCATTGTTTATTTCCTTTTCAAAACGGGCTTAGTTTTGTAAGGCAGGACTTATTTCACTGAAAGTCACAGCCATTGCTTACTTTCCAAAGAAGATGGATGATTGGGAAGTCTTGGTGGCTAGTTAAAGAGATAGTCCATATAAAAATACTTCCATATTAGCAATAACACATGCTCTTACTTCATATTGTAAGCGGAATTATGAAGAGTATGAAATGTGTTTCTTGAAACGCTTTGGTCACTATTACTGCTCGTATAATATTGCTGCATAATTTATTTTGCTCTATCACCATGGTTCCCAACCATTTTTGTACCGGGTATCCTTACGGACCGATCATTAAGGTTTAAATACCCCTTTGTCAGTAACAGACAAGAAATGTTCTGCTCTTAACCAATATGCTCAATATAATTCAAGATTTTCTTTCATTTGAAGTAGCCATTACCACAATGATTCCACTTTAAATAAAAACAAAATCAATACTCTGGGTGAAAGACTCAAAGTATTCCAGCTACATTTAATGAGACACATTTGTCTCAAAAGTTCTTAGTTCGTGGAACAATTATGGAGACACTTTCTAAAAGAATAAACAGTGAATTTCAATGTGTACCCCAGTCAAAACCTCAGCATTGTGGATTTATCATAAACACTAAGTCTCTCTCTTTTTGTCTCTATTTCTAGGCTGTGGGCTGGAGTTCCTGCTGGTACTCTGTGGGCTAGAGCTCTCCTGGTCCTGCCCACGTCACTGCATTTGCTACATGGCCCCCAGCACAGTCAGCTGCCAAGCCCACAACTTCCTGTCTGTCCCGGAAGGCATTCCTCCGCACAGTGAGCGCATCTTCCTCCAAAACAACAAGATCCATCGACTGCTGCAGGGACACTTTAGCCCCACCACGGTCACTCTGTGGATTTACTCTAACAATATCACATATATCGAACCATCTACTTTCCAAGGGTTTACCTTGCTGGAGGAATTGGACCTGGGAGACAATCGCTACCTACGATCGCTGTCTGCAGAAACGTTTCATGGGCTGGGCCGGCTCCATGCCCTCCATCTATACCGATGTGGCCTCAGTGCACTGCCGAATAACATCTTTCAGGGTCTCCGCAACCTCCAGTATCTGTACTTGCAGGTGAGGCACTCACAAATCTATTTATGTAACAAAATATATGGCACTGGAAATGTACTTGTTTTGTTGTAGTAGTATATAAAAAACTTGTTATGATGATAAATTGTCTCTGTGTTCAAAGGACAACCACTTGGAGTATCTGCAGGATGATCTATTTGTGGATTTGCACAACTTGAGCCACTTATTTCTTCATGGGAATCGTCTGTGGAGCCTGCACCAAAACACATTTAGAGGGCTGGGGGCTTTGGACCGGCTGCTGCTGCACCACAATCAACTGCAGTGGGTGGATCGTCTGGCGTTCCACGACCTGCGACGACTCACCACTCTCTATTTGTTCAACAACTCTTTGACAGAGCTGGCTGGAGAGTGTCTGACCCAGCTACCGGCCCTGGAGTACCTTCGCCTCAATGACAACCCTTGGGAGTGTGACTGTAAGGCTTTATCACTGTGGGACTGGCTCAAAAAGTTTCGGGGATCCACATCATCTGTGGGTTGTGTGGCACCGGCAGAACTTGCAGGCAAAGATCTGAAACAACTGAGGAAAGAGGACTTCCCAAACTGTTCTGGATCTGAGTCTCTCCATCAGAGTAAGACCAATACTTGGGCAGGAACAAATAAGGTCTCCCTGAAGCAAGAGCCACACCCTGCCCAGCCTCCACAAACACACCCACACCATCCCCAACTGAATGAACAATTCCCTTCCCCTCCCTCCCCCCTGCCCCAGCCTCCTCCTGCCATAAATGGTGTACAAGTGGTACCGGGAGTGTCTCCGGACATGATCCCAGATCAGAGGCCTGGCCGCTCTCGGAATTGCACCCGCCAACGTGTCAGAGGCAGCAAGGGAAAAGGACCAAACGAGGTCCACATCTTAAAGGAGATGGCAGATAAGGAGTACTCCTCTCCAGATTTCACCGGGAAATATGATGAAACGTCTTCAAATGGTTCAAACACCCGTAGAAAGCACAAATGTACCCCCCGGACCTCTGTGCGTCCCCCTAGTGGGGTCCAGCAAGCCACCAACTTGGGACACTCTCATCACACACATCTCTTTCTCTGTAGTATTTCAGGACTGCTCACGCTCATTCTGCGCTGAACTCAATGCTAGACCTTCATAGCATCATGGATACTCTGCAGTCCTCAGATCAGCTCTAGCTACAGCATTACCAGGCCTACTAACGTGTGTATGTTTGTGTGAATGTGTGTGAGTGATGACGTGTAATACATTGTATAAGGAGCTTTGCCATTTAGACTGAAACAGATGAAGATTGAACACCGGATGTTATGAGTTCAAAATTGGGTTGGTTAACATGAGTGAGGGAATAGTGAATCAAACATGCTTGCACTGCCACTGTTGTTATTCCTAATTATCTTCACTTTTTTCATGTTGCTTTGGTCTCCTCCTATAAATGGACAATAATTTCAGTAAAATAAAGCACAACTAGCGAAATAAGTGTGTCAAAGAGACATGAGCAAGCAACACAAATTTACAAAGAATAATGTTGGAAGACATGCCATTCTGTTAGTCTAATATTTCTAACAAACAAAGCATGTATAGAAGATACCACCAAACAGTTCTAAACAATACAAGTATATCCTTTGTTTAATATATCACATCTTTGCCAAATAGATTCACAAATACATTTCTGTAGGCGTTTCAACCTTTATTTGCTCATGTAGGACATATTTTTGCAGATTTACTGAATTAAGAGAAAGAAAACAAAGTGTTGTGTGAAAGGAAACTAAATAGCCAGTACTAAAGCACATACATTCTCCTTAGAACCTCCCTAAGGAAAAATGTTACAACCTAAATACAACAATATTTTTTTCTGTCCAATACCCTCCTTCATTTATTTTCCATATTTTCTTTGCTTTTGCCCTAAGACTTAACTTCCACTTCTTAGTTTGGATTGTATTGTTTTTTTTTATAACACCACATAAAAGCCAATGGTTATACTAGCTGCTATATTGTTTGTAGAAGCAAATGAGACCCATTTTTACCTCATCTGCTTCCAAAAAACACAATATGTGTGGATGTGTGTGTGCGTGTGTGTCCAGTACAAAAAGCTATGAAAAAATTAGAGTTGTGTTTGTTTCTTGTCCTCTGTGTTGTTTGTTATGTTTGGCTGTGACTCAGAGGACTTAGAAATGGACTGCTGATGGGGGCGCAGACTCTGGAGGGGACACAGGTCTAATTGAAGTGAACTCTATTTTGAAAAGCGCCTTCAGCCTAAGCCCGCCATCGAAAACATAGACACCTTTCTTTCTTAGAGAGGTGTGAAATCAACTGTTTTAACAAGACAGAAAAGAAAACAACAAATAAAGAAACAAAATCACACATGAAAAAAGGAAATGTATCTTTAAGAGACTTGACGACAAAAACATATTTGAAATTTAACATGGCCAAAAAAATGACCTTTTGGAGCCATAGGCCTGCTGCGAATGCAAATAGGAGTCCAGGAGGAGAGAGACAAATGCCTGAACGTGGCCGTCACTTATGTTGTGGAGTACAGGAGAACTTTGCCTTCTGTTCTGAGATGTACTTTGTAAAAAATAAGGAGAACTGTATCATCACAACCTGCAATGGAAATATTACTCAGTACTATGACACTGACATCATGACTGACATTTTTTTGATTACAACAGGGTTCCTGAATCTCAGAAGAACTTCTCTTAAGAACGCAATTATTATTTTTATTACTCATATAATTTGATCTTATTTTTTGTTGTTGTTTTAGTTTATGCATTTCTTTGGTATGTCTGTGAGGCACCGTTTCTGACTAAACTGCACAATCCAGTCTCCTCTTGTCCCTCCATTTCCCTCTCTTCTGTGTCTCTCCATTCTAGTGGTTTGATGGTTTAATGAGTCGTTCTCAAGAAAAAAAAAAGAAAAAACGTTTATAAAGATATTAAAATCTATATCTTCTTATGTTAAATGTGTTTGCATTTATTTATTTACTGTGCGTGTTTACAGATGTTGATGAGGCCTGATAGAAAATTCTGATTTACACCTATATCTGCCTTAATTATACATTTGAATTAGATTCTGGCTATAGGGCTGCATGATATTGGAAAAAAAATATTCATTGTGATATTTAATTTTATTGTAATAAATATTGCGATATGAATACAGTTTTACAAGATAGTTTAGATAGCTTTAGTTGACAGTTTTCTAGGGAGGTTGACAGTAGTCAGGTACAGAAATTTAATAATTATTATGCAAAACATGCTTTTCCGTAGTTTGTTTTGTCTTGTTTAGTATAGTATTGTTAGTTGTTTTGTATAGTCCAAATATCTGCAAATTCTTAGATCAAGCAAAAATATTGTTTTGTTTTCAACTTCAGAAGAAATAAATAAAAATCAAGAGTTTTTTCCACCCTTTTTTTAAGATTTAAAGGGCACCTATGATGAAAAACCACTTTTGTAAACTCTTTAGACAGAACTGTGTGTATGTATAATGTGTCCACAGTCATATTGGGATGATATAAAGCCAATAAGTCTCTTTTTTTAAATTTCCTGACTTTAAAATTGGACCCAAATCCCTCCCATTTTGAGGCCGACAGCATATAATCATATCATTAAGACAGGACGTGCGCAAAGCATCCAGGATTAAAAGATCTGTTGAGCTCGCTGTGATCATCAATTATCATCCAATATGATCAAGATTGAGTTTTACAAGTTTAAAAAGTTTTTAAAACAGTGCATGTTCGTAATAAATTACAGCGATTTTACCGTCTTTATCATGACACTTTACCGTGTCAGCACAATTATAAAATAAGATGCTTCAATCCCGGTTTGTGGATGTTAAATCAGGTTTATTTTGTACATTAACATAACAGATACTCATATAGCATATTATATTAACGTGTATCCAGTCACATTTGCTGTGCAGGAACAGTGCAAAGTTAACCGCGTGCTTTATATTTGTGTGTGTGTGTGTGTGTGTGTGTGTGTGTGTGTGTGTGTGTGTGTGTGTGTGTGTGTGTGTGTCTGTGAGTGAGCAGGAACTTTGTAACAACGTTGTTTGACTCATCACCACAGAAAGACTTAAATTAACTCCACAACAAACACATCAAATAATCATTGGGAAAGTTCTTACTGTAGTATTTCACACAAACTTTACGTGACATCTGCTGCCTTCATGTCTGCTGTCACTGTGCTGTTTATCTGAGGCAGACGAGGCGAAGACAGAGGCACTCTGACAGGCATGTGGGAACGGTGGGTGGGGAGAACCAGCATTAAAGGAACAGGCAAGAAAAACAGCCACAATGTGTTTAAGGCAGAAAAACTTTTAAAAAGTAAAACAAATAATCTGAAGTGTGTTTTGAGCTGAAACATTACAGACACATTCTGGAGACACAAAAGACTTATCTTAAATCCTAAAAAAGGGTAAAATAGGTGCCCTTGAAGTTAAGTTTTCTGTGTCTCCAGAATGTGTCTGTCAATGTTCAGCTCAAAACACCCATCAGATTATTTATTATATCTTTCAAAATATTGAAATTTTGTGCTCTGAATACAATGTAGCTGTTTTTATTGCCTGTACCTTTAACGCTAGTTCGTGCCACCCACCGTTTCCACGTGCCTGTCAGAGCGTGCCTCAATCTGTGCCTCAATTTGGATATGATTATACTCGTTACTACAGATGGTCTACATTGCGTTATCGATGCTGAAACAATATATTGTGCAGCCCTAATTCTGGCTTTGAAAAACACATTTTAATCAGTCTTTTTAAACTTTTTCATCTTTAAAGGATTTTTATCATCCTAAAAATGAGATTTAACTCAAAGTGTTTCATAATTTTTTGCAATGTTAATAAAGTTTGTCATTAAAATTATTTTAAGGTACTTTATGATATGTTGTCATATGGCAACAACGTCCAACAATGGATCTAACTTAGAAATTTAAAATTTAAGACTTTCCTTATAATTAATAATTGTGTTGTTTAAAATGATTAAGTTAGTGTTGCAGTATTATAAGCTTTAACACAAAACTGATAATTTATACATACTTTGCAACAACTCATATTCCAACAGCTTTCATTTATTACATTCTTTTTTTATCCAGTAAATATTATAACAAATAAATAACAAGTCTAGTATATCCAGATGCATCAGAATAATGTCGCTACAAGCTAACAATGTAAATATCATTAACACATGACTAATCAACATTATAATACTAGCTTTCGTGTTGTTATTATTACAATTTAAAAGTTCAGAGCTGACCTTGCTAGCTAGCTAACCCATTCCACTATTGCACAGTGTTGCCATTTGGCAACACATACAGTTGGTTGATTTACAAAAGTTGCGAATATGTCATCTTAACTTACTGGAGGTGATGTGTCAGATTTTTGTGAATCTGACATAATTTGATCTTTTGTTTTTATTGACGTTAACATTTGCATTCAGCAACTACTCACAATGAACACCAGTCTGTCACAAATCGCACTTCAGATAAACCTAGCACGTTATGTGACTTAACCAAAGCACATCAGTGGCTACACTAAGGTCTTCTCTTTCCAACAAAAAAAAATCAATGTTGTTCTTCAAGAAACAGTGGCATGGAAATAAACAAATATCATGTTGCCATATGGCAACACCATGCAGGTAGAGGGTTAAAAAAATTCTATCTGAATAGATTTTAAAATCAACAGCTGATTGAAAATAGAAGACAAAAGAGAAAACTGAATATATTTTATAACATTATAAACGTATTTACTGACACTTTTCATCAATGTAATGTATGTGAATATAGAATACAAACAGCAGTATATGTCTCAATTTTGTAAGATTTATGTTTAAAACAACAATACTAAAAATATATATAAAATATAGTTAGGTTTCATGAGATAATCTAAAGGTATGTTCCTATAATTTACATTATATTTATGTGATTTTACTTTAAAAGGTCTTATGCTGATATTTTTAGGATGGTTAGATTTTTTTTTTTAATTCTGTTAAACAGGACAAAAACACTGATTTATGTTTGTAATGTAAACACATTAGTAGTATTTGACCAGTATGTTTGCTGGATCCTGAATTTCATACTGTACACGTACACACAGCCAAAACCCAAATCTCCCAGGAAACAGTCCGCATTTTTAGATTTTCAAAATACTTAATTCTGTGTGATTTAGGAAGTTTTTTTCCTTTCATTTAAGAGACCGCAAAAATGCTGACAAATTTACTGTATTGATTTACTTTTGGGGACTTTAAAACCCAGGTTCATTTGGTTCACAAGATACACACACAAATAGAACCTATCATGAATCATCTTAATAAATGAATATATGTGCTTGATTACATGGAGAGCTCAGGAACATCGCCACCCACAAACACTATTAATTTAACTGATTAAAGCAATTTCACTTCACAAGTGCAGCACTGATATGTGTAGTGAGTATGTGTGTGTGTCTATTCAATCACTGAAACATGCAAAAACCCATACAGCTAACCCTCTATAAATCACCTCCGAAGCATTGCGTATTTATGAATGTCTCACGGTGAATCTGGAGATATTCAAGGTTATCATTATGATTTTTAATCGGACTATACAGCATAAATCCCATTTCCTCCCCCTGTATCCTATCCACCCACCGTGATGGAAATCGATTCCCGTGTTAGAGTGTAAATTACTTTTTTTTTTTTTTAATTTTGTTCAATGAAAAGAGGGGAAAAGTTAGTTTTCTGCATGGCAGAGGACGGAAGCAGAAATACATTTAAATTGATGAGCATCTCTAAAGTGATAACATGGTGGGTCTCGGCTCATTCTCTCTGACGTGCAATAGCTCGCTTCACCTCTCCATCTCTCTCTTGCTCTATTCTCCATCCTCATCGCCATTCCTATAGATTTACAACATCCATTGGATAAAGTGGGATTTTACAAGAGACTCTGGTATGTTCAGTAATATTGGTACTACAGGAAGACAACAATATCTGAAGGGTGAAATTTAGAAAAAAAAACATCTGAAATAATAATAAAAAAAAACTTACAAATCAAAACAACCTTTCAGTAAAGAAAAATTTATTAAAAGAAGGCAACAAAACCTACTTGTTCTGAACAGTAACCTAAATGAAGAATATTGTCCCCTTAGAAAGGTAGAAATCACTTTTCAGAAGGGAAATCTTACATCACACTACCTCTCAGTGAAATTAGTTACATATTCACTATTTACTGTAATGACTTTTCTGCTGAAAAAGGGATTACTTCATGTATTTTTTTATGTAACTTGATTGCAGCCACCCTAAAATACTGTACTTTACTTTTTATCAGTAATAGGGTATATGCAAAGCTAGTGTTTCTTCCCTTGCTGAAAAC